CTAACGTTGTGCACGTAACTTCTGGAGTACCCCAAGGCAGTATCTTGGGGCCTCTTTTGTTCTTGGTTTTTATCAATGACCTTAGTCAGATGTTTCCACCTAATATCACTGCATCACTCTTCGCGCATGATTGTGTTTAGTCTTATACCAGTTCAAAATTTTGAGAATTTCACAGAAGTTCAAAACTTTCTTGATTTAATGTCAAACTGGTGCGCGAAGAACGATATTGAATTAAACATAGATAAATGCTTTTACATGCCTTTTTCAAATTCTAAACTACCATAAAAATATCCACCAATTCATCTTTCTGGGAAACAACTTTCAATTGATAAGAATATAAAATTATTAGGAGTATATCTTTCACCAGATCTTACGTGGAAACATCATTTAGAAAAAACTAGCAAGAGGTGTAGACAAATGTTAGGAGCTTTAACTAGAACTTTTAAAAGCGCACCTGAGTTTCTAAGGCTTCATATTTACAAAGCATGTATTTTACCTGTTATGAATTACTGTTGTGTTGTGTTTAATAATGATTTCAAAACTCATTTAGATTTACTAACTTCAACACACAAATTTGCTGCGCGCATTATAACGAACGACTACCATTCTAGCAGTTCATCTGTTCTTAAAAGGCTGAAGTTGCCTGATTTAGGAAGCCGGCGCAAATACTTTAGGTTAAAGTATTTTCATAAAATGATTATAGGAAGAAGTGCATTGTCATCTTTTTCACTAGTAAAACCACTAACTACTCGAGCTTCGGCTCGACTTTCAAACCGATGTGCTTGGGAGGTACCGAAGTATAAACGAAAAACACAAGTTCATCTTTCTTACCTAAAACAATTTTACAGTGGAATGTGTTGCCAAGGGAGGTGATTTCTCAATTTTCCATTCTAGCCTTTAAACGTGCCTTAAGAAAACATTCAAAGTTGTAACAACGGTGTCTTATAAGCCATATTTGTTTTTAACCTTTTCTTTGGAAATTTTGCTTATTTTTCTGTACGGTGTGACTTAGTCAAAGCTCTTTAGAACTTTTTTGTCATCCCTGTCATTTAACATCGTGACTTTAAAATAAAAAAAAATAAAAAAAAGCAATTGACTGGTTGTGCAGTTGATGGAGCTTATGTTCATATGCAGATAAATAAACATTTATGTAAACATATAGGAATGGATGGGAATTGGTTGGTGACTTCGTAGGCTATTGCTCATTTACTTGAATTAGCAATTGGTGATGTGCAAAATCACAAAAAATTCAATTAGTTACAAACATTTAATAAAATATGTGCATCACTTATGAAGAAATATTCTTATGAAAAACAATATGAACTGCTATTGGAAGCATCAGACGTGACAGAAGAAGAAATATTACAACCGAAATCGTTCCATACAACCCGTTTTGTTAGTTCGCAACTACGTGTGTATGAGACAATGTTCAGAGATTGGTCCACTTTTTATTATTTGCAAGAAGAAGAAGATAAAATAATGACATTCAATCATGGAAATGTCAGTACAAGAACCAGACAAAAAGTTAGTGTACAACAAACAGGTGATAAAGATACGGGTAGTATTAAGGTAAATTATATTATAAGCATTTGCTTTGAAAAACTATCTCTTTTCCTTTCTAGTTAGAAGAAATAAAATCTTCTGATTTTGTATGTAAACTTATTGGTTTGAATGATATATATGATTCTTGTTAAAGCATCATTATCTGTGCAACAAGTGAACAGATATCCATGGGAATACGACGATTCAATCGAATATTTAAAAGAACGTCTAACTGAATATGGAATATTGCTTAGAACATTAGATATAAAATCAACCCAAGAAGTAGAATATTCACAAGGTAATGTGGTGTGCCTTTTAACAATTACTATCTATTTCTAAGCATTTTCTGTTTTAGAATTTCAAGCAGATAGATCAGTTAATTCACCAGCTGAGGGTGAAGTTAAGATGGATGACGATGAAGAAGATGAAATGACGATTCAACAACAACAATCAACCACTTTTATGGAACAACATTATCATGAATTGTTACAATTTGAATTTAAACAATTTTCACTTATGAAGCGAGGTACTGATTATGATTTGGATGATTCAACTGAGCGTGCATGTGGAAAACTAATTGAACTATGTCATTATTTAGTTGAAGCAATTTCGAAACGATTTCAAGATCTTCCTGAAATTTTTATAACAATGAAAAATTGTTTAGATGTTGGACGTTTATATCATGTTTTTTTGAATGAATGTTATACTTATCGAAAAAGCACGGCCATTAGCCGTTACTCTAAAGAAGCAATTTAGAATATATGGAAAGTCAGGAGATCATACATGTATGATGTAATAAAATAAATACTGTTTAAACTGTATTTGTGCCACATTTAAAGTATTCACCTTATTGTTAAAAGAACGAACTTGCGGTTAAAAGCTAATATCGAAATGTGCATAACAAACAAAGTACAGTTTTGTTTCTGTTAAAACACATGACAGTTAGAGCAACAGTACAACTAGATAGTATTTTACCATGCAAATCCTCAAATGAAAGGCTGTACATCAGAATGATGATAAATTTGTTTTATGAAAAAAATTATCAAGTAGGAATCGATTTCGTAATATCTACAATAAGACATCAATACATATGGCCCAAATGACCTAGTGAGAAGGGTAAAAGTAAAACTTTAAAGTATAAAAATCAGATTGCCTATATAAAAAACGCATTATTACACAGTTTTAATTGACCCCTGATGCAAGTTACGCGAAAAATAGTTAAAGTTACGCCATTATAATGGCGCCACCTGTAATTATTCCAAAATTAACATCTTCAGGGGTTAACCAAAACTTTGTGATAATCCTTTTTTTATAAAGGCAATCTAATTTTTATACTTTAAAGCTTTACTTTTACCCTTCTCACTAGGTCATTTTGGCCATATGAAGAGTTACAGCAAGAGTTAGTAAGTGATATGAACATAATGAAATTGCTGACAGGTACCGTCAGTCAATCACAATTGCCGATGTCACTAATATTAATCTAATTAATTTACTACCATTCGCCACAACATGTATCCAAAGCAAAAGAGTTTTAAAAACTGAAAAAGATAAAATGGCACACTAATGTGTTTAGGTACTATTAAAACGCGCATAATTTCTAAGAGTCATTGTAACGTTTGTAAAATTGATTATTATCCAACATATAACATTATGAAAAATAAACACTTATCGGTAACAGCCATTACAAATAATCATTATTTGTATTTCGAACGATAATCAGCATTTCATCACCATTTACCTGTCATATTTTCATCAGACTTCATTTTTTCTCATGTTCCATTCAATAGTTTTTGTGAATCGTATGATTATAAAATTGAAACAATAAACTGCCATAATTTAAATCAATATATACCCACAACGTATCAACAACAAAACCTAGATCCAAAATTATTTCAGAATACTAGGCTGGTATTTGAAATGGTGAATTTATGATGTGTGATAATCAGTTTTTTCAAATACCGGCAAGTTACGAAAGTTCAGAAAGGGTAAATTTTTTAACACACCTCAATACAACAAGAAATTTTACTAATTATTTGTAGGATTCTGGACTCATTCTGATTCTATTACAAAAAATTGGGATAAACGATACTGTTCAAAATAGGGGTGGCGCTTTACCGTTTCTTTACAGGTAACGCAGTAACGCATGCGTTATTGCGTTACTGATAACGAGTAACGCATGCGTTACTGCGTTACTGATAACG